TCAAAAAAAAAAAAAAAAGAAAGAAAAACAACTGAGAACTGCTGCTGCAGAGAAATGAGCAAACTCTAGTAAATAACTTATACCTGATGGAGTTATAGTTACACTGCAGTTAACACTTCGAGATTTACCAAAAACAGATGGGAAAGTAGGATAATTCCCAAGAAGCATTTTCTCACATTTACCATTACCCTTCAAAGTTTTCTCTAAAAGTAGAAATAAGAATTCTGAAGTAAACTAACAAATCATCTTCCAATATCTTAATTACAGTCTGCCCTCCGTATCCATGGGTTCTACATCTGTGAATACAACCAACCAAGGATCAAAAATACTTTGGGGGAAAAAAAAGGATGGTTGCCTCTGTACTAAACATGTACAGACTTTTCCTATCATTAGTCCCTAAATGATACAGTATAACTACTATTTACAGAGCATTTATATTGTATTAGGTGCTATAAGTAATCTAAATATGCTTTAAAGTATATGGAAGGATGTGCAGAGGTTATATGCAAATAAACATCTTGTTTTTTCTGAGACAAGGTCTCACTCTATTGCCCAGGCTGGAATGCAGCAGTACAATCTCAGCTCACTACAACCTCTCTGCCTCCTGGGCTCAAGAGATCCTCCCACTTCAGCCTACTAAGTAGCCGGGACCCCAGGCACATGCCACTACCTCTAGCCAACTTTTTTGTACTTTTTGTAGAGACAGGGTTTTGCCATGATGCCTAGGCTGGTCTCCAACTAATGAGCTCAAGCAATCCACACCTGCTTTGGTCTCCCAAAGTGCTGGGATTACAGGCTTGAGCCACCAGCCCAGCCCTTACGACACCATTTTCTATATGGGACTTGAGCATTGTGAACTTTGGTTCACAATGAGGGACAACTGAGGGACAAATGTATATTGTATTTAAGTATATTTATAAAGTACTATATTTCTCAGGAATTAAATAAAAATCACAAAGTTCATAACATAGGATTATTCGGTCTGAACAAAATAATTACTACTACAGCAGAAAACCAACACATTTTTAATGAAAAACTGTATACGCTATCTTTGAAAAACTAGGAAAGATGGTCTGGTGAAATTAAAGCCTTATGTACATGTAAAATATTAACACACCACCACCAATTCTTTTTCACATGACAGTTACATAAATCAGGTAAATAACTATATATATTTACTGTAGCAATGGTAAAAAAGAAAGCAATTTCAGTGCAATATTAAGACTTAGAGAACCCTATGTAAAATTAATACAGCTAAATTTTAAATCAGTCTTTTTTAAAGACATACACCATTAAACAGATTAAACACATATACCATTAAAAACACCAATTGAAAAAACCATTACCTGAATGAACTGCTTTAGCTGTGCACCATTATTCTGATGCCCATCGAGATTTAACACATTGTCAGGAAATTCCATCACCATCTTAAAATGCAAACAGAACAGAAATCAATTATTTTACCCCTCTGAGAACAGGATATAGCCTACAAACTCCCAGAACAAAAACAGATCACTGAAAGCCAGATTTGCACCCACCTCTACCCCCAAAAAAATTTTTAATCCAAGTACACAAGTTTTTTTTTTTTTTCTGAGACGGAGTTTCGCTCTTGTTACCCAGGCTGGAGTGCAATGGCGCGATCTCAGCTCATCGCAACCTCCGCTTCCTGGGTTCAGGCAATTCTCCTGCCTCAACCTCCTGAGTAGCTGGGATTACAGGCACCCGCCACCATACGCAGCTGATTTTTTGTATTTTTAGTAGAGACGGGGTTTCACCATGTTGACCAGGATGGTCTTGATCTCTTCACCTCGTGCTCCATCCACCTCGGCCTCCCAAAGTGCTGGGATTACAGGCGTGAGCCACCGCGCCCGGCATAAGTTTATTTTTTTTTTGAGACAGAGTCTTGCTCTGTTGCTGGAGTGCAGTGGCGCAATTTCAGCTCACCACAACCTCCACCTCCTGGGTTTAAGCAATTCTCCTGCCACAGCCTCCCGAGTAGCTGAGATTATAAGCACCCACCACAGTGCCCAGCTAATTTTTGTATTTTTAGTAGATACAGGGTTTCACCATGTTGGCCAGGCTGGTTTCAAACTCCTGACCTCAGATGATCCACCCACCTCAGCCTCCCAAAGTACTGGGATTACAGGAGTGAGCCACTGTGCCAGGCCAGAATAGTGCCTGACACAGTGTTTGCTCTAATTATGAACAAAAAGGGCACACTGATATACTTATTCAATTATCAAAATTCACTACCAGAGGAAGGCATATGAAGCTTAAGGGGGCTTCAGTATGTCACATAATGGGAATTTATAATTAGTACATTTTACTGATCTGTTGTCACACCACAGATTTTAGACAAGGTCGGGCGTGTTCAGGGTGGTATGGCCGTAGACAACACACCACAGATTTTAAGTAGTACCATAGTTATGTATCACTACAGGCCACTTTTACTATGTCATAAAATTAAAGCAGCATCCTGATTTCAGAGATTTTTAAATGTGGGGAGGGGGAGGTATGCCTTCAAAACAATGAAAGTAACACATGTATATCTTAACTAAAACATCGTTAAAGATCAAAATACGGTACTAGGACAAACTGTTTCCACATAACAAGGACCACAAACTTCTACAAAACCAAAGAGTGAAGTCAGGACAAAAAGACCCATTTAAGGCAAAACAAAATCTCTCTACCCAGTTGAATGTGGTCTTTTTTTTTTTTTTTTTGAGATGGAGTTTCGCTCTT